ACTATAATTTTGTACAGTATTTCTATAAAATTTCCAGTGAATAATAAAGGTCCCCAAATGATGAATGGTGTTTATTGGAACTAATATGAGGCCAAAACAGACATGAATCTAGTGGACTGAAGTGTTCCAGTGTTCTACAGTATTCATGTGAAAGCACTGTCCACAGTTACATCCTGAGCACTGTGGGGCTTCACCCCCCCTCCATTTTTCCAGCTTTCCTCTTCCTCTTCACAGTGACTGAGAAATACAGACAAAATGCTGAACTGAAACTAAATAACAGGCTGACATTTTCTCACTGCTGAGGTTCACCTGCAGGCCAGGTCGGCTCAGAGAGGAGGCTGGATTTCCATTTGTACCAAAGCAGCGTGTGAATTAGGTTCAGTCCAAAACCATTTACACTTTCAACATGAATGCCTTTCGAGCCACTTGACATAACATTTTTTTTTTCCTCCAAGTTTGCAGAAAAAAAGATGGTCCAGAGCTTTCATCTCAGGACCTGAGTGTATCTGCTCATACGTCACCTCATGCTGCGACTCGGGGGCACCAGCATGAGGAGACAGTTTTGGATTCTACACCTAAACATGCACAGGTGAGTTTAACACAGGCTGCAGAGATGCTCCATCATACAACATAAGTCTGTTGGCAATTTATCATTTAAATGCTTAATGATTCAAAATAGAATCACCTCTCAATTATTGCATTATCTCTAAGTTTAGATGTTTGTTCTTCTGACTTTTGTTGCATTGAGCTTCTACTACAGAGCCTGTATTTTAATAAATCTTGAATGTTTGTTTTTAATTTTACATACCAGCAAACGCTCCACTGTTTAACTGAGAAGTAATGCAATTATTCAAGGCTATACAATGTTGAATAATTTGATATTTAAGTGATATTGTACACTGTGCACATGGAGCAACACTGAGCTATTAGAAGTAGATTCAGTAGATCAAATATATAATTTGGTTTTGCACATTTTAGCAGCTTCACTGGTATCCTCCCCTTACAGAACCTCATCGTATAACAAAATTAAAGTCCTGATTTTGCAGTAAAATGTTCCCTGTCAGTGTTTTAGTATTTAACACGATGTTTTTAGTTTAATATTACTGCTGGATGAATGTGTATGTCGCATTTTGCTGCTGCAGATGTTTAAAGTTGAGCTAATTCTAATTACTTCACATGCCTCTGTGTAGTTTAATCCACAGTAATGTCTCATATTCCGTATGATCATCGCACATTTGTAGCGTTGCTGTCTGAAAGCTCAGCTTATAATGAGCCCAGAAAAACAAGCCTGTTTTCATCGTTGTGACAGTGCAGTTTAATCTAAGAGGGTGAATAAATAATTAATGGAGCTTAAGAAGCGGGAGAATTTTCTCAACTCGTAAAGGAACGCTTAATCCTTCAGGCCAGAATCACCCTATTGGAAGATTGGCCACTTTCACTCGACATGAAGGTGTGAAAACTCGTGATCTGAACTGCTGTCAGACAAACGTAGTCGGGTGATAAATGCTAAATTTGCTGCAGTGATTTAGTGAATTAGAGGTATGAAGCTGCATAAATTAGAAACATTTGATTAAACCACAAGTATCTTGACT